TGCCAGGCTCTAAAGACCTCTGATTCTATTATAGGATAAATAAAATATAAGTGCCATAGGTTTTAAACGACAGATTTCTTCAGGACGCAGCAAATTTAACTCAAGGATAGATTGTTTAATACAAAAAGAAGTCCCAATGAAACACATGTTCCACTGTTGCTTTTGCAACTGTTGAGCTCAAAGTTTAGGAGTGTACGTTCAGAATGAAACATGCTCAAACTAAATATTATGGATTTCAATTAACATTATTATTGAGCATATAAGCCTCTTGGAATAATGTATAGACATGGGACATAAAGACAGGGCTGTTTGGCCGTAGCATAGCAGGCATCTTTGAAACAGATCAAAAGACAGCTGTTTGGGTGAAAACCCCCAAACCAATTGTGATGGATGCTTTGGGGTTGCTCCACTGAGCATCTCAATATCACTGACTCAACTATGAACCATCATTTCTAATACTGCAGGTCAAGCTGAAGCTGTCTGTCCCAAATAATAATTTCTAATATCAAGGGTATCCTTTTTTCCTCAGATGAAAACTGTTGATATTTTTGGTGAATACGTGATTTTAGAGGTAAATTTTCTTTTGACTGCATTCAAAAACTCAATCTGGATGCACTGTTTCACTAAGGTTTAAATGTTTGCATGTTGTCACAGTTATGACAACTGTCCCCATCAAGCTTCATTCAAACTATGCAAACTTCATATCAGACTTGTGAAGGTCAGCACAGTTATAATCTTGACCCTGAAAAGAAGAGGTTACCATCAGATCTGGATCTTAATCTCATGACCAAATTAATTCTTTGACTGCTCTCATGAATTCAGGGCAACAAGTCAATGACTTCACATTTAGGTGCTGGCTTTTAGTCATAATCCCATCAGTCATACACTCAAATTGTAATTAGTAACACTAAGAATGGACGGCACGTTCCTCTATTAAACCCAAATCAATACTCACTTATCTGCACTGATTATTATGTCCATGTACTGTAGCTGTTATCTCTAAAGTAAATTATGCATAAATCAGAGCCTGGTAACACAGACTGCATAGATACAACATGCACAACTTCTAACCACGTGTACATGTTATGTAACTAGACCATGCCAACTTCTTATTTTGATCCACATTGTAGTTCTTATGCACATGTGCCATTAACAATAATAATATGTGCTATTCTTCATGTAAGGTCAACAGGGAATTTTCCCTCAACGGCAGCTACATTAGCCTCTGCAGCTACGCTCAGGTCATACGGGTCTCTACATACACCTGTGAGGAATAGGTGTTCATCACCTCATCACCAGTGTATGAGTCCTTCACTGGACCACTTTGGTAAGTTTTGTTTTGGTGGTGATCACACCCAATCCTATCATTATGCATTGTGACTGCTTCCATCATATCAACGTCAACAACTAGCTGTTCAAATGCTGCGTAATACTGCACTTCACACCTTTTGACAGGTGCCATTGCAAAGAAGTAATATTTTTCACTTCATTTATGTTCATGTGCTGTAATTTGAAAGAAACATGGAAGCCAGTTTTTACTCTAGACGTTTAACAGCTGAGTGAGACGTTTGTGTTAAGCTCAGGAGACTCAACACATCAGCGAGCATCTTCACTATCAGATTTTCATACATTCTTTTTCATTGGTTAAAATATTAATTTAAAATAAAAGAACATAATCATAGACAAAAAAATCTTTTATTAAGTAGTTGATGAGTTTTTCACTTTATTCAAATGATTTCATTAGCTTGAAATCATGTGAGCTTCGTCTGTATTATTCGTTTATTAGAGGTTCGACTGCGATACATAATTTACTGTGATTAAAATTCAAGCCGTACCAGCCTTTAAAGCACTTGGTCACAAGAATAAACATCAGTCTCAGGTCCTGTCTGTCCTGTCAGAAATTACACTGAGATTATGAAGTTCAGTTTTCTTTCTTTATTCTTATCCAGGACACTACGGTTTCTGTTGGTGTGGATGGATGAGTGATGATGAGCTGAGGTTTGCAGCGTTTCCCTCACAAACACACACCAACGCACTCTCAGCCTCCTCCAGTTTATAATACAGGTTCAACCAAATATGACAAATGCTCAATTTTATAACCACCCTAAGGTCAAAATCAATTTGATTAACAACCTAGAGAACAAAATCCCTCACAGGTCCTATTGCCTAAATGTCCCTGATTTAACTAAAGCCTCAGCACTGTGTGCCTGCTTGCTTGCATCCTTGTCTGCCTCATTTGCAGGATTTGAGCTAAGCCTTTTAGCCCTGCTATAAAGTGATATGAGAGCTCTATGGCAGTTGGTGGCTTGCTAACTCACTTGAGTTGTTAAACCGCTTTTTGTCCAGTCGGTCAAAGGGAACAGGGGGCCTTTTAGGTCTACAGTTGAAAATCACATGTTCTTTGCTTGTACTAAAAGTAGTTCATACAAAAGTATGCCCCCTGCAAGTTTCTTCTCTGCAGTCTGCTTTTGATACAGTTAAAACAGTTAGCTACAAAAAATAGATGCATGCTTGTGTATTTTCTCCATTTCTAATTTTGGCCCACTCTTCACAGCTTGGTCTCTATTTCTCTTCACCTCTGGCATGTGGTTGTTTTTGAAGAAATTGCATTGTCTAAGAAGAAAGATGCACAAGCAAAAATAGCAGAACACTATTCACCTGGTATTTCATTGCACATCGCTGAAGCGGGATTATGGATTCTGATTGAGGCCGGATTATTGTCAGATAAACAAAACAATCAAAAAGCCACAGCGGTCAAAGGGTGCATATACTTAGTGACACAGGGAGGGCACCCTTGTTGCAGTGTGTCATAGCACAATCTGACAAATGTACAAGGAAACACTCAAGAGCACAACCCTCAGCCCTGAGGCTCCGAGACAGGAAGCCAAGAAGTCAAGGAAAGTAGTGTCTGTGGTAACTGGTGCTCATCTTATTAAGTTAGATGAGTATAAATTGCTGTACAGCAGACAGTTGATACTTTTCGATAGATTCCAATGCAAGTAAATGGAAGTAAGTGGAGTAGATCTATCTATCTGTATTATGCTCTGAAAAAAGTAAACTCTGTCATAAAACATGCTTGCATACATTTAGAAATGGTCAAATAGATAAAAACAAATCTTTCCCTTTGTGTGTAAGGTTAGTGTACATCTGTGTCTGTGACTGTGTGTTTTTATGACGTGAACTGTGAGCAGAGACTAGAATGTCAGGCAGGTTTACATTAGTCAGCAGATGCAGTGGGCCACATCATTAGTCACTCTGACACCCACTTCTGGCCCCTGTTTTATTGATGAGGCCAAGCTCAATATCTACCCCCAGTCTAAACACACAGACACACACATAACTTCCAAGTTGTTTTCACATTTGAACTCCAAAACTGCGTCAGGACATTCAGGGCTTGTTGTTGTCCAAAGTTGTCTCTTCACACATGTAGCACACAACAGAGTGTTGGGTAGGAAGCAAGAGACTTGATGCCCACTTGCTCGCTGTGAATTTTTCATACGGTTACCTGCACACAGGCTCAACTGGACATTGCACGTACTGCGTATTAGGGGGCTTGGACACTAGCTTTTGGGGCTGCAGTGTATGGGAGTATGTGTGGGAGTGGCTGTACAGGAGAACACTTTGGCATTAAGTAGAAAGCTACAGGCACTCACTGCACGAGGGTAGAGGTTGTGACAGCAAACAACGTCCTACAGTTTGTCAGGAAATAAAATTATAATGATAAAATGTAATTCTATTTTCTAGAATGCAGTCTGTCTGTAGACCAAATATCCGATTCAGAATCAAATATCTGCTCAACAGCAGATCTTCTGGGCCGATTGTGAATGGCAAGGCACAATGACAGGGTGCCAAGTGTGTTATAGCAATGAGCTCAGAGCCATTTATGGCCTCCATGACTCTGACATTTAGCAGGATGCTGCAATTTGTCAGCCTCTCAGTCTGACTCACACATCCACAACAGGGGACACTCATAAAACACATTACCATTAGGCCTAATAGTGCTGCATCACATAACTCTGTGTGTGTGCCTCTGTGCGTTTGTGCTCTGTAAAATTAACGATATATGTGTAGTTCCTCTAACTGCCATTAAAATGACTGGTGGAAATACACGGTGACAAAAACCAACAAATACATCCTAGTGCACTGCATGTTCACCTCGATCAATCAAAGCGAATTCATGATTGAGTGTATACAGTAACAACAACTCTGTACTGCAGGTTAATTAGCCATTCAGCCAACACTGGAAACGTGCATGGCTTTTAAAATTACTTGTTAATACCAACAATTATCTCTGCCTGTTACCTAAACACTAGTTTGACTCTTAGAACGAGAAAGCATTCGGATGTTTTACATCAGAGTCTTTGAACCACAAAGCACTTCGAGACCTACATCTAGTAACTTACAAAGAGCAGAGAAGGAAGGCTCTCATTGTTTCATTTAATTCTGAAAGTGCATTGATGCTAACCACAGGGCAAGTTGGAGAGGTAGGTAATGGTTTGCCATATTTCCCATCTAATACTTTGTCTTGCTGCTTTCAACTTTCCCCATCTCTCTGCATTTCTTGCTCTTTCTCTTTCTCCCTCTTATCAGTGACGTATAAAAGGCAAGCAATGGCACAGCCATAATGGAGAGAGAACATCTTGATGGCTGCTCTTTCCCCAGAAGAATACCATCAGTAAAAGTACAGTGGACAAGTCTACTGAAAAGTGTCCTTTCCCTGTAGTTTCTTATCATCGTGCATAAAGTTTGCAAAGGATATCTTGGAAAGGGTGACTCAGACTTTGAAAGCAGTTATAGATTTCTGGGCCACAAAGTCAAGCAGACATTTCAAGTCAAATGATAATCAAACATTTACTGACACGGGTGCAAATAGACACGAAGACAAACTTGCAAATTCACGGGTACTTGCATTTACGAGTGTGCCCTTACACACACACACACACACACACACACACACAGCTCTCACAACCAGATAAAAGAGGTGTCTGTTCTGCTCTTACCCGAGTGTTGTCATAGTAACGATGGTGTACCAGAAGGAGGCTGGGATGCTGGTGAATTTGCTGGAGCTTGAACCCTTCTCTGCGTAGAACATGACGGTAGCAAAGATAATTATGGCCATAGTGAGGGAGAAGAGGAGGAAGCCCAGCTCCGAGGCACAGCTCTTCAGTGTGTAGCCCAGGATGCGAAGGCCCTGCGAGTGACGGGAGAACTTGAAGATACGGAACACGCGGAAAACACGGAGTGTCACGAAAGCACCGCTCACGTCCTCGTTGTCAGTCATCACCAGGCCAATGTAGTATGGTAAGATGGCCACCACATCGATGATGCTCATGACGGATCTCATGAAGCGGTAGCGGCTGGGTGCAGCAAACAAGCGCATCAGGTACTCCACGGTGAAGATCATAACACAGGCCGTGTCCATGCAGAAAAAGGCCACGGTGTAGCGCTCGCCACATGGCACTTCCTTCTGGTTGGGCGCTGAGCCACAGGGCACCGTCTCTACCACATTGGTAATGACAGAGACAGCAATGAAGAAACCAGTGACATAATAGAAGACAAGGGCCATGGTTGAAGTGTGAGGGTTTTCAAAAGCCCGCCACATAGTCTCCCTGAAGGTCATATTGGGCAGCTTGGCATCCTTGTTGTCCTCCTGGTCATCCATCAAACGCTCTGCATTCTCCCTCTTCCTGTCCTTGTACTCTTCGTAGCAGCAGTCACCGATGATCTCTGGGACAATGCCAAAGAAAGCCAGCTCCTCATCATAGGAAGATATGCACTCGTACCGTGGATAATGGAGCTTGCCTGTACGGTAGAAGTTGAGCACACTACGGAACACGTCGGGGTCCCGGTCAAAGAAGTATTCTTTGGTCTCCTCGTTGTAGAAGAATTCCTTCTCTGAGCTGCCCAGCAGTGTGTCTGGATAGCGGTCCAGAGTGTTCCTCCAGGTCTGGAAACGGCGTCCACTCACATTAAGAATGATGAGCTCATCCTGCCTCTTGTTCTTTTCAGCAGGTGCTACTGGCATGGGCAAATTGGCCACAGGCATCCAGCCTATGGCTGCTGCCCGGGCAAAGGGAAGCCATGCCGCTACTCCCGCCGCCATGCTGTGTCCGGCTTGGGGCGTAGGGGGGAAGAAGTCGAGCACCTTCACAACCAGCTTGACTTCAGCTCATTTACCAGCTAAAGAGAAGAAAGGGAGGGAGTGTATGAGGATAGGTAGCACATGGGTGCTGTTTTAATCCTCACAGGCAAGGAGAGTGAGATCAGTAGATCAGAAAACAGAAAAAAGGAAGAACATATGAGACACTTGAATCTTAAGAATGTAGGGGAAAAGGACAAATGGTGAGCTAGTGAAATAAAAAGATGTGAACATAACAAAACAATGTATACAAAATAAACAGCACAACTAATTGTAACAAGGCAGGCAAGCAGAGGAAACAAAAGATATCTTGATAAAATGAAAAATAAATTAAACATCGCACTCATTTATACATTTGTAGAAAATGTATTTCTATTTCATATACTGAGCTTTAATGTGATCACTGACTGCAATAAGCATGATCTTTCTCAAGGCTAAATTCCTCACCCTCTGTAGAGGTACTGGTTAAGCAGCAGCCTTCTGTTGACAGTTTACTGCATCTTACAGGTTACAAACTAAAAACAGGCAAAAAATAACATCGCAAAACAGCCTAAACTGCTCCATTTTTTTAAGCGTGGGTTTGGTCGCCTTAAAAGTGATCCAGGATAGTCGAGACCTGTTGAGTTTCAAGTAGAAAAAAAAAACAGTAGATGCATCTTTATTTTACTCAAGATGAGTCAAACTACTTCATGATCGCTCAGATCAAATTCACCACCGTATCAATAGCGCTGATGAACCAATCAGTCTTCATGGCTAACCGAAGACGCAATATGTTAAAGCGGAATGATTTCCCGAACTGCCCGAGAACTAAAAAAAAAGAAAGAGAGAGAAAGAAAGCAAACATCGCAGGCTTGTATTCGCAGCTTCGTGCTGAATGTAGTGGTTGATTAATGTAGAACTCACCGACTCAAAATTCTCCATCCACACAAACACGACCTTCTTCCAGGGCAGTTTAATGGCAAGTCGTAGGTTTTGGTTATTTCTCTGAGCGTGTCTGGAAAAAATAAATAAATAAATAAATAAGAAGAAGAAGAAAAGAAAAATACCAGGAAAGAAGTTATTCAGCGAAGAGGAGAACCACAGTAGACACACACTACAGCTGATGGGGGAAGCGGAAAAGTACCGGTGACGGACGTACCACAGCTGCTTTCATTCAGTTTCCATTATGCGAGGGGAGAAATGATGAGAGGACTCCGCCGTGAGGACCGTATTACCTTGGCTTTCGGGATGAGTATTGGGAAGAGGAACGAAGGAGGAGGAGGAGCGCTCTTTCTCTCGCTCTCCCTCTCTCTCTCTCTGCGCAGGGCGGATTGTGAACCAAAACTGCATTTAAGGGAAGCTGGATCAGGATTTAGAACCATGCGCAGAAAATAAATATATAAACGTCAGACCGCTTTCTTCTCCTTACACGAATGCTGTTCTTATTGTACAGTGTGCGTGTGCTCTGCTGAACCAATGTTATTCCCACACACAGCACTAAAGGCAAGTGCTATCAGCTGAGTTATCCACAGGATTCATCCCAGCAGAGGCATATAAGAATCCACAGGAGGCCAGAAAAGAGCGCAATGGATCAACTTTGTCTTTAATTAAAGCACCAGAGGACTATTACTATTTTTCGCACAAACAAGCTGGAAACATCGATACGATGTCACCGTTTAAGTGGAAAACCAGCTGGTAAATAGTTGCCTTATTACGTTACATATAGTACTGTGCAAAAGTCTTGAGTCACCATTCATTTCTTCACATTTTGCAAGTGAGAAAAACGAGTTTGATCGTGTTTATTCTTCAACACTGTTCTTCGTGTTTTTCTCTTTTTTGAGGGACATTCAGAGCTCCTTTTTGGATGTTGGCTGCCTTTGGTTTTGTTCTCTGTCAAGGTGATCCCGTCCTGCTTCAGTAATATTGAACTCACAGGTTCTGGCGAGGCCAATCCATGAATGATAGTTTTTCATTTTAGAGTTTTCCATCCAGGCATGCTTTTGCTACATTGTCATGCTGAAAATGGAGCAACTGCCAATCAGATACTTTGCAGTTGGCATTGTATGGCGGATCAAAGTCTGATGGGGCTTTCAGTGTTCATAATCCATCAGTTCTGACAAGATTCCCGACATCGCTGGCTGAAAAGGAGCCCTACAATATGACAGACCCTCCGCTGTGTTTGACAGATTACTTTAGCCACTCACTGTTGTACCTCTCTCCTGACCTCTTCCGTACATATTGAATTTTAAAATTTGAATCCATCACTCTGTAAGACCTGTTGCCACTGATTTTCAGTAGACTGAAGGTCTAGATGCATGTCTCATGTCCTGTGTCAGCTCTTTGCTGGATTTTCTTTCCTATTTCTTAAAGACTTGACTTTCAGATACTGTCTACAATCTGCTGTAGATCATTAAAAACAAAAAAAGTATTTATTTTGATCTCTAATTGTCCAGTTCATTTATTTTTATATATATATTTTTAAAAAATCAGCAAAACCGTTTGTTGGTGCAGGAATACTATTTTATGTCTATTAAACTTTGCTGTCTTTTGAATTTTTCATAGATTGAGCTTAAGAAATGGAGAAAAATCTGAGTTTCTAGTAAACTTCTGTTTCCAAAGACCTTAAAGACACAATTAAAAATTTGTTTTAAAAGCATGGTGCCTTTTTGTCCCAGGATGATTCATAGTCAAGTGTTAAGAGGCTTAACAAACAAGAAAACTATTGTTCTGGAAGTGTTCAGGTACAAGGACTGGACTGAAAATGAGTGACAAAACAGCCAGTGTTAAAACTTTGCAAGACCTCCAAACCAACAAGAAAAATAAAAAGAATTTCAATTCAATTTTATTTATATAGCGTCAAATCACAACAACAGTCGCCTCAAGGTGCTTTATATTGTACAGTAGATCCTACAATAATGGATACAGAGAAAAAGCTAGCAATCATATGACCCCCTATGAGCAAGCACTTTGGCGACAGTGGGAAGGAAAAACTCCCTTTTAACAGGAAGAAACCTCCAACAGAACCAGGCTCAAGGAGGGGCGGGGCCATCTGCTGTGATTGGTTGGGGTGAGAGAAGGAAGACAGGATAAAGACATGCTGTGGAAGAGAGACAGAGGTTAATAACAGATATGATTCAATGCAGAGAGGTCTGTTAACACATAGTGAGTGAGGAAGGTGACTGGAAAGGAAAAACTCAATGCATCATGGGAATCCCCCAGCAGCTTACGTCTATTGCAGCATAAATAAGGGGCAGCTTGAGACTGTTGCACAGTATTGTATTTCTATCGTATATGAACTAATCCAGAAGTGTTAGATAACATTCCTTAACATCAGCACATTCCTTCTCCTGTCCTATTCTTCTTTTTGAATACGATAAAGCTGTAAAGTTATTGTTCTGTGGTCTCAAGACCCAAGTGGACCCAAGGGGACCTTTACTCTAGACCCCAAATGGATCCCACACACATCTAGTAACATACCTGAATAAAATACTTCACAGCACTAATGCAGATATTTTGAAGTCAGCAAAGATGGCAATGTTTATAAAATTAATCATAAACCTAAAAAATAAAAGGACATAGGTAAATATTTGGCTACAATTTTAAACCTACAAGCTTTGAGCTACTGTGACGTATACCTCGGCCCTTTTCTGTTTGCATTCTTTTCTGTGGGTCTGGGTGTCTACAGACTCTGGCAATCATCTCTACATGTAACTTTACTCATGAAAGAAAAGACAAACAAAGGGGCTCCAGTGGAAAAGCTCTGCCCTGAAAACAAGTAGGTGCAGGATATACCAAAGATTATTTCTCAGGACAACTCACTGTATCCCCTGCTGTTGACAGCAAACAATAGTGAGAACCAAAATTGCATTAGTTAGTGGATATTCTGTGCACCTTATTCCTTCAAGCAGATAGCAGTGATTTCTCTTCTGGGTTTGTTGTTATTCTGACTGACGTATATGAGTCAGAATCTACTTTGACGTTTTAATAATTTCAGAAACCATGTCAGCCACGTAAATAGGCTGTAGCACATAAACTGATGCTAAAACGATGTTATGTTTATTTATGTTCAGAGTCAGTGTGTCATTGCATGTGTACCTACATTAGTTAATGCTTTGCTGAGCATATGCATTCCCAACTGTGTCAACAGAAATATTGTTTGGATACAGAGGGCTTCGGATATTAGTGGAGGCAAGAGCTCATACACAGATTGGAAAACACTTGGTATCTTGTTGCAGTCAGGGATGTACAGTATGTAAGCAAAATATGAAAAAAAAAATACATTACATCATATTATTTACCATAAAGTCACCCTGTGAGTTCCATAGACCCTTGTTCGGAATGATAAATCGCTGATGATTAATATTTAGACGTACAGCTGCACACCCACACATGCAAGCACACACTTCTTTATGCCTTTCTGCCCTTGTGTAGCTATCTTTAGAAGCACCTTTTGTTGGCTCAATTAAGTCCCTGGCCGTAAACTGCCCCCTTGGTAAAACAACAGAATAGCCAAAATGACCTCACCTTGTGAAAAGTATCCCCACTCCTTAAACTCAAGCTAGCTCTGAGAAGAAGACAAGTTCAAGAAAATGCACACAGGCTCACACACAGACACACACACATGCTGCAGGAGGCTGGCCTTTTCAACCAATGAGTCTGTGAGCGATTCCAATAATTCAAATGTCACTGAATAACAAGGTGGGTTGAATTTCATGGTCAACTGCCCTCTGTAATTATCTGAAGACACTACACGGGCATTAAAATTCTAAATCCTCTCTTCCCTGCAAGGCTTCAACAAACAAACTAGCTGTATTTTAGTGGGAAACCTTTGTGGGTTATAAGAGTAAACGGGTTTGTTTAGTAGCAGAAGAAAGGATGCTATCAGTCCAAAGTCAAAGGAGCTTGGAAAGAAAAGCGTCTGGACTTCTTTAAGTTGTTTGAAGACGTTGTTGCTCTCTCCTCTTTTGTATATTTTGTACACTAATGACTGTCGCAGCACACAGGCCAATAGGCATTTCATCAAATACGCAGATGACACAGTCATTGTAAGCCTCCTTCATGGTGAAGAGGATTCCCATGGGCCTGTTGTGGAGGAGTTTGTTTCATGGTGTGATCAGTCCTTCTTAATGATTAACACCTTGAAAACCAAGGACATGGTTATTGATTTCAGGAAGTCATCCCCTCATCCTGCGCTTACAGTGGTAAATGGTGCAGCCATTGAAATGGTGGATAGTTACAAGTACTTGGGGGTTGTTCTTGATAAGACTTTCAGGGAGGTCTCAGGTCCAGCTTGTGGACTTTTATAACAGGCAGGTGCTGAGGAAGGCAACTTCTGTCCTGTTGTGTTCAGATCATCCTCTCTTTAACGATTTTCAACTGCTTCCATCAGGTCGTCGTTATAAAATGACTGCAGTGAAGACAAAGCGACACAAATTGTCGTTTGTACCTAGTGCTATTATCTTAATTAACAACACTAAATTGTAAGTGTTGTTGCCATTGCACATTGCACTTTTTTCGATGGAAAATCTAGGTTGTTTTATCAGGCTTATATTATATTATAGTATTTTTTTAATGAGTGTACGTGATGTGTTGGTTGTATGTTTGTTGTTCGTTTTGACATACTGCGGATCAATTTCCCGTCAGGGACAATAAAGTTACCATTGACCATTGACCATTGACCACTGGCTAAATGTGGCTTGTAGTCTAAAGTATTTTACAGTTACAGGTGAGATTTTAGCAATAAATATATTTACTATAAATGGTAAATGGTAAATGGCCTGTATTTATATAGCGCTTTACTAGTCCCTAAGGACCCCAAAGCGCTTTACATATCCAGTTCACCCATTCCCACACTCACACACTGGTGATGGCAGCTACATTGTAGCCACAGCCACCCTGGGGCGCACTGACAGAGGCGAGGCTGCCGGACACTGGCGCCACCGGGCCCTCTGACCACCACCAGTAGGCAACGGGTGAAGTGTCTTGCCCAAGGACACAACGACCGAGACTGTCCAAGCCGGGGCTCGAACCGGCAACCTTCCGATTACAAGGCGAACTCCCAACTCTTGAA